TCCTAATGGGATTAGGAGTTGATCCCTTTAAGGTTATAAAAGGAGAAGGGGGCGACAGCTATAGAAGATCAATCACATTCGAAATTCAGAGAGAGAACACAACACCTAGTGAGACTGAGTTGTTTCTCCTTGCCGCCTCCTTCCTGCCGCAGCCATTACTGCCAATTCGATTTCCTCTTTCTAGCAGGAGTGATCAAGATTGGATTTTGATATCGGTGTTTGGAGAAAGGCTGATCTGATGGTGTGCTCACTGCCTCCAACGAATTCTTGTGAAGGGTTCGGTTCTTTTGGAAGAACATTGCTGATTCTACTCAATCCTACACTGCGCCATCTTCAGTGGGAGCAGTTTTTGGTTCCTACTTTGGGCGTGAAGACCTCCATTGGGAGATACTGCTTCTCCGTATCAGGTATATCCCTCTCATGCTTCTGGTTTCAGATCTGGTTTGGTTTATGGTTCAAGATTGATCATTGAAAATGCAGATTTTCTAAAACAGGGAATGTGATTCCCAGATGAGGGGAGAGGAAATTTTGGAAATTTCGCCCAACCTACCTGCAGGGTTCGGCCATCCATATGATGGATCTCTATTCCCTTCAGTGGTATCAGAGCTAGGTTCAAGTCTTGAACCGAATTAATGCAGATCTGAACTTGCGCAAATGGGCAGAAGGCGTTCTACCCGATTTGCGCAGATTAGGGTTTTATCTAGAAAATAGTTTCCCAGATGGAGGGCGATTGATCTGAAATTAAATTTTATAAATCTGAATTTTGTTTGGAATTGTTCTTTATAATTTTCTTGATTTATGGGCTGTTTATACAACTGGAGATCGAGATCTTGATTGGCACAGAAAACTGCGATTTGCAGTTTCTTGATTTATTACATTTGGTCTGTAAAATAAATTTTTTTTTTAATTTTTTAGACTAAATGTATAGGATTTGATCTGATGTAATATTAGTAGAAATTTTAGGGTTTCTGTTTTTTTTTTGGATCGAAGATTGCGGCGCAGGTAGGAGATTTCGCAGATGGGGATATCGCAATCTACGATTTGCAGTTTATGAAACTGCATTATGTGATCTAACCTCTGTTTTGCAGGATGTGATGTGCGAACAACCCTTTTTGACTGATTCTTGCTTTGCTTTGATCAATATTTAATTTAAGATCATTTTCTTGGATTAAATCTTTAATTAAAGATCAAACCCTAGACCCATTCGAACCAGATTGGTCCAAACTAGTTGGACCGAATCTAGGGTTCAATGGAGGCTGATTGTCAGCCCTAATTTCCCACTGATGGGCCTAAGGATTGATAATTAATTAAGAATTTAATTCGGCCCAACCTGTAAGGCCTAGTTTTAAATTGTTAAAACTGCTAAAAGCCCACTTTTGTAGGAAAGCTATATGGGTTGAACTGCTAAACCCTAATTCGGCCCATATACCTAGATAATGTTAATTGTTAATGTTATGGATTAAAATGGGCTTTAATTATGGGCTTTACAGATATTTAATTGATTGGATCAATTTATCCCTACTTGTGATGTATGGATGTGTGATGTGCAACATACATGGGCCATAAGTACTTGGTCCATGCAGATACGGCTGTGGCTCTCGCGCACACCATGGCTGAATGCACATCATTGCCATGGTGTCCCTAAAGATCATTAGATGATCTCCCTCAATGGTGGGCCCCACACCTCTTGAAGACGATACGTGCGAAACCCTAGCCAATTAAGGCCCACCGAAATCTAGCTTTATGAAAGTCAGTGGGAGCTACTTTGGTTTGACCTAAATTAAGCTAGGGCGTAATTCTTGTTCCCTCTAGCAATATGAGTGCATGTGATAGGGAGATTCATGTGATGAACTCTCTAAAGGCCTTCCATCATTAGCATGAAGATGGGTCCTTCAGTAATGAGGAAACACACCAGAAAATGGGCTATCCATTTGCTGTTGGATTTGTCTGAGTGTTTCATAAGATGATAGGGGTATCGTAGAGTTGTTTTGCAAAATATATTTTTATATAAGGATATAAAGTTATATATATG